ACAAGGCTGTTTGGATATGGCTGTTAAGCTTTCTTCTCTTGTTCAATGGTTTCTTTAGTAGGCAGAGGGTTTTTCTCTTCGGTCTTCGTCTTCTTCAACTTGCTCTTGTCGAATTTGGTGACCTCTTCCAAATCTGGCTTGTCGGACATTTTGAATGAGAAGATCATACAGCGACGTGGGGGGCTGCTGCACAAGACCGTTCTGGATGGCTTACGTCCCTCAGGCATGGCGCATCAGCCTGCCAGGCAGCTGAGGTTGCACAGGCAGAGAAACGGAGGCAGACTAGAAAGAATCGTACTGCTTATCCCACACTTACTGCGGCTTCCATCTGTTGTCCGCACTTCTCAAGAACTTTCCAGGCTCATAATGGACTCATCAGTCACCTTCGTGCTCATAATCATTAATCATTACTACTTGGGATGAAAAGTAGTCTTCATCACCAGTGATGGACGAACAACAAGTCAGCGATGATGATGATGAAAACGTTCTGTTGACAGCCACTGGACCTCCCTCAGTTAAAGTGAGTGTCTTGTTCCTCCAGTTCCCACCCCTCCCCCACCCACCCACTCCCAAATATTGGCACTCATAAATGACACACTTCACTATAAAACACTATCGGTCAAATTGCATTCCCGAATCGTGTCCTCTTTGCGAAGACCATCATCGGATCAAACTAATTAATAGCCGTCGTTGACTAAGACTCTATGAAATCGCTTCAAGCATCCCCTTCTTTCATGACTGAGTAATACCTTGAATGTCAGTTGGGGTCTTAACCCTTCTGTCTTCACATCGGAACGAAGTTAAGTGCCCAGTGCCAGTCTCCAATCTCTGTCTGGTTGGATCAATATAGTCATTTTCTTGTGTCAACTGTTGTGGTTGAGTTTAGCGATACAAGTTTCTCTGATATATTTGCTGGCGTCTCCTGTTTGTCTGGTTCACGTGTTTGTTTGGTTTTCGTGTTTGTTTAGTTCTCGTGTTTGTTTAGTTCTCGTGTTTGTTTAGATCTCGTGTTTGTTTAATTCTCGTGTTTGTTTAGTTCTCGTGTTTGTTTAGTTCTCGTGTTTGTTTGGTTTTCGTGTTTGTTTAGTTCTCATGTTTGTTTGGTTCTCGTGTTTGTATAGTTCTCGTGTTTGTTTAGTTCTCGTGTTTGTTTAGTTCTTCTGTTTGTTTAGTTCTCGTGTTTGTTTAGTTCTTGTGTTTGTTTGGTTCTCGTGTTTATTTAGTTCTCGTGTTTGTTTGGTTCTCGTGTTTGTTTGGTTCTCGTGTTTATTTAGTTCACGTATTTGTTTGGTTCTAGTGTTTGTTAAGTGCTCGTGTTTGTTTGGTTCTAGTGTTTGTTAAGTTCACGTGTTTGTTTGGTTCTCGTATTTGTTTGGTTCTCGTATATGTTTGGTTCTCGTGTTTATGGACGGAAAGTTTGCATTGTTTTAGAGCGACAACTCTAGAGAGATGATTGCAGAGGATTAGTCCCTAACTGGCTTATTTCACATTCTATTTCCTTTTTTTTTTCCTGTCCTCTAATGCCTTCTATACGGATTGTTGGAAACAAAATTCTGGTCTTTCCATTTCTTCTTCTGTTTTTTTTTTTTCTTCTTTTTCTACTACTACATCTTCTTCTTCTTCTTCTTCTTCTTTTCTTTCTTCTTCTTCTTCTTCTTCTTCTTCTTCTTCTTCTTCTTCTTCTTCTTCTTCTTCTTCTTCTTCTTCTCTTCTTCTTCTTCTTCTGCTTCTTCTTCTTCTTCTTCTTCTTCTTCTTCTTCTTCTTCTTCTTCTTTTCTTTCTTCTTCTTCTTCTTCTTCTTCTTCTTCTTCTTCTTCTTCTTCTTCTTCTTCTTCTTCTTCTTCTTCTTCTTCTTCTTCTTCTTCTTCTTCTTCTTCTTCTTCTTCTTCTTCTTCTTCTTCTTCTTCTTCTTCTTCTTCTTCTTCTTCTTCTTCTTCTTCTTCTTCTTCTTCTTCTTCTTCTTCTTCTTCTTCTTCTTCTTCTTCTTTCTTCTTCTTCTTCTTCTTCTTCTTCTTCTTCTTCTTCTTCTTCTTCTTCTTCTTCTTCTTCTTCTTCTTCTTCTTCTTCTTCTTCTTCTTCTTCTTCTTCTTCTTCTTCTTCTTCTTCTTCTTCTTCTTCTTCTTCTTCTTCTTCTTCTTCTTCTTCTTCTTCTTCTTCTTCTTCTTCTTCTTCTTCTTTTTCTTTTTTCTTCTTTATCTTCTTTATATCTGGCCGTCTGCCTGCCTGTCTGACTGCCTGTCTACCTGCCTGGCTGTCTGTTTGTCTTTCTGTTGTTCCACCTACTCCCATTCTTTCATCCTTCTTTGTATCACTCTGCCTATCTACATAGGTACATTTAAATATAAACTATGTTTTTATTATGTGTCGGGTTTGTGGCTAAGTCGATGCGAACGCTTCGTAATGCCAGGATGCCGGGTTCAATCCCAGCTGCGGGCCATGCGCCTTGCGTTGGTTTCGACAGTGGTATCAGTGGGCCGACCGTCCATAAAGCAATGGCAAACTACTGGACATAAATTTGCCTCGAAAAAACCCACACAACAGCCAGGGGTTGTTGGGGTTGGTTCTGCAACGACCTGTAAAGGATACGCAACTAACCTATATATTATGTATTCATATATGCACTTATGTATTATGCATGTTTGTCAATAGTTCCGTGTATATGTATTTATTTGTATGCATGTTTTGTTAATAAACATTTCTTTCACTACAAAATTTACTTTTCTACAGTTCATAATGTCAGGATTTAATGGTTTTTCTTCTTTCTTTTCCAGGCCAAGAAATGATTACAACTTTGCTCTGATGATGTGAATTTCCCGCCTACGCTTAAAAAGGCAACGCTACTTATTCCCGTTTGAGACGTTTTCTTGCCACACAAAAACGAAATTCTCAATTTTGAAATGTGTGATATTTTTAAAACGTATACATGTGATATTGTGTGTACGGAGATTATATTCCTTGTCTAATTTTTTGTTATATTTTCCGGAGATAATAAGTCAAGAATAAGGAAGTACATTTTCGTGAATAAATATATTTTATAGTATTTAGGAAAGGGAGATAAATCAATTCGAGTTCATTCAGCTTAGTTATCGCTCTTTGATTATTTAAATAATAATGATAATGCTCCGAATTCGGAATTTGCTAATTTGCTTTGAAAAAGTTGTAAAGTTCACAACGATGTATGTGATGATAAAATATAAGATTTAAGAATATAAAATAATACAGATGTCTGATATTGCATAGTTATAAAATAAGGGGGGAGGGGGTGAAGGAAAGGCGTTGCGTGGCAAATGTATAACTACATTTGAAATCCCCTATGTTCACAGACATCTTTCTTCAGATTTGATAATGTTGGATTCGGAATTGCATAATTTGTAGCTCTGGGAAAGTTCTCTTAAAGACGGTGTACTTTTCAAGTAATATTCATAAAGACAGTAGTGTGTGTATATAACATGAAAGGTTACTAGCTACACCAAAAAAAAAAAAAACTAGTAAACTTCACGTCACAAACACAAACGGTAGGTAAACGTTGCGGCTATGTAGCCTTCTTCGGCACATTATATGAAAGTACACTACCATCATCATCATGAAGCAGGTCTTTTGCAGAACGTTCGCTCTCATCACGGTCTGCTTTGAAAGTTACTCGGTCTTTTGCCAGCTCTTCAGCCTCATGTACCGTCATATTGCCGGAGTCACCTATATCCTGTGCCCATCTTCGTGCTGGTCGGCCCCTGCCCCTCCTTCCTGCTACCATGTCTTCTGCTATTGTTTTCCTAATCAGCCATGGCGCTTGATATGAAAAAATCATTCAGCTTTCCAGACAGGATGCTGTTTATTAGCCAGTCTTCCTTCATGTTCAGACACACGCAACACACACACAACTCTTACACCTTTTAATCATTACGGTCTGACCAACGCTTGACACTCAGGGAAGAGGCGAGACTGATATACAATAAGACAGTTACTGGTACTATCAGAAATTTAACTTTTCACTTGCTGCTGAAGATGGGGATTGAGCGCTTACTGGGTGTCCCGAGTGCTGTGATGTCGATTCCTAATTCAACATTTAACATACAACACCCAATAAACGGTTTTAAAAAAAACGCTTCCGCCAGTCGGAAAGGCACCTGATGATGGTGATGATGATGAGGAAGATTTGTCGGATACATAAAATATGAGGAATATTAACGTTTCTGTCAAAAAGGCATACACACAATGTCATTTTGATTTATTTCGTTTCTTGCTAACATTTAAATTATTCCAGAACAGAAGATCGTAAAAATGAATATTTCATTTATTCTCTAACATTGTGAAATAAAACTGGAATAACAACTGTGAATTAGCAAGGGGAAAATTAAAAATACATTTTAATCGTGAGTATGTGTGTGACACATTACCAGCTTTAGAAAAGCATGTAAAATGTCTAGGATAAACAAAAATATTGCTGAATTTATGACATACATTACTTCCATTTATAATATTTGTATTTCTAGGAAGCAGACAAAGCTTATTAGATAGAAAGAATCTCCTCAGATGCGAAAACAACGTTTCGGCTTTAACTAAATTTAATAAATACAAGATATCAAGGCAAAACTTTTGGCCAAGAGAAACAAACATCGGTGCAAGTTCAACTTTACGGGTCGCTGAGTGAATTACAAAAGACAGTAAAGTTCATACTAGAGACAACATTGCAGATATAGATAATCTATTTCAAGCGAACGAAAGAAGAAGAAAAAAAAAAGGTTTTAACAAAATTACCAGTTCTACAATTTGGCGAACGTCTTAAACAATATTTTAATTTTTCAGAAGAAGTAAGTTATCATTAAATTTGCCGCCATGTTTAATATCACATCAAATCACGTGACACTTTTTGATAAGCAAGATAAAATCCAGTTTAATAAAGGAAGCACTTTTGAAGTCCTTTACAACAACAGCAACTCAGATCCAGATTTCAGTTTGGATTACGAAAGTCCGGAAGAGAGTGTCCTGTTGATGTTTCATGAATGGTTTCTGGAATTCATGGATATTTAAGTGTTGTGATCTGCTTCTTTGGTGTGCTGACAAACATCTTCAACATAACCGTTCTGATGGCGAAAGACATGCGAACTGCTACAAACTATCTCCTAACGTTCATTGCGGTATCGGACATCCTGACGATGCTTCCTTATATACCGTATGTGATTAACTTCTACTGCCCGTTCACACATCCGGAGGAGACGCCATGGAAGTACACATACGGATGGGTGCTCTATATGGTGATTATGGTCCACCTTTTGGCCACGACACATACAATCTCCATCTGGCTGGCTGTAACCCTTGCAGCTTTCCGGTTCTGCCAAATCCGCTCACCGTGCCCTAGCGGGCCTCTAGCTAAAGATCGAAGGATTACCCAGGTAAAGATTGCTTCCTTGGTGATTTACCTAGCTTCAATCCTTGTGCTCATCCCAAACTATGCTTACACTGAAATTGAGCAAGCCTGGGTACCCGAATCTAACTCTACCGTGTACACGATAAAAGAGCAGGAATTAGCCACGCCACGGACAGAATACGCAGTGTTTATAAACATTTTAACCTACGCCATTGTAGCCAAAATCGTTCCCTGTGTTCTCATCTTAATCTTCAGCGGCTCGTTGCTCTACCACATGGGGATCAAGGCCGCACGCAGACGACAGCGTCTCTGCGCTAACCGGCAACAGGCCAACACTACACGGATGCTTCTCGTCGTTCTCATTCTCTTCATCCTAACCGAGCTTCCCCAAGGGATCGTGATGCTCTTAAGTGCCACGGTTCCCGATTTTAGCAACAATGTCCACTTTCCCTTGGGGGACCTGATTGACTTTATATCCTTACTCAACAACGCCATCAACTTTATCCTGTACTGTCTCATGAGTCAGCAGTTTCGCAAAAAGTTCTTCAACATCTACATCAAACCGGTGTGTGATAGAAGAGGTCATGTTGCCACCTCCAATTCTGAACTGCTGATCCTCAGGGAGCAGGTGCCCCGAACCATGACGATGACCACTCATGACGATAATGTCCGAGTTTGACTAGGAGACCAGTGTATTCATTTTCTTTATTGTCCTCTGTGCAAAGACCTGTGACATCTTTTCTCTCCAAGACTCGTTTCATCGCCTCTCTAGAGAGGTAAACACCAGGATCTCTAAAACCAGCTGCAAATTTGGCAGAAAAACACAAAAATCTGGCATCGAAGTGGTATTGGTCGGCAAATCAAAGTGAAGGTCTACAGAGCTGCGATGTTTCTGAAGCTGGTGTATGCTTGTGAAGCATCGAATGTCTACTGACATCTTGCAAAGAAGCTCAACCAGTTCCATACAGTCTGTCTGAGAAAGATTTTTAAAATCAAGTGGCAAGACAGAGTCTAGTATACTGTCAGTGCTGGCATTCCCAGTATCGATAGAAACAATCCGGATGTAGTCACGGAATCGAAGGTCACATCGTTCGCTAGCTACATCGGTTGCTTAAAAAAATCTCTTGCTGTGAGGTTCGAGGTTTGAACAACGGATTAACATCATAGCATACGGGTAGTAACCCATAACTGCTCCGTTCTTCTTCTAACTCAAGACTGAGTCCGAAGAAGCTTAGCACAGTGCACAGGCTCTGCAGACCCGAAGAGGATCGTGAAATACTTTGGGTAGATTTTTAACTCCAACTTTTGCCCGGGCAGCGCCGTTAGGCGACTCTTCTCGATTTATAACTGTGGATTTTTTACGTGCGCAACTATGCACACGGGCGTCCGATCTCACTACCCAGAGACCAGAGGGAATTACTAGAAGTCCAAGTTCACGTGAAGTAATCCTAGCCCTCACCGGGAATTGAACCCGAAACCTCTAGCACTAGAGGCGGGCACCATGCCTAGAGAACACACAAGAAAGTAGATGCTCTCATTTTGACATTAAAAAATTGCTTTAAAGACAAGCTAAAGGCGTCACTTAAGGCTTTCAATATAAACCCTGATACTTTGAAGGCTGTGCAAAACTACCGGACTGCTTATGTCAAAAGAAACAGCCATCACTAAAGAGCAGAAGGGAAACACATGAGCTGATCGAGTTATCGCTAGAACCATTTCTAACACAACTAACTGTAGAATTCTGGTCAAAATATGTCGGATAGGTAGGCCGCCATGTTAGTCTTGGCCTGTTTATTGCTTTTTTTCCACGGTTAGCGATTGCATTTTCCCCATATCTTTACTGAAAGCATATAGTTCCGTCGCCACACTGCTGAGCTGAGTGCACGATGTGACACTGTGAGCCATTGATTTCATTTGGAATACTTTTCGACTGTGAACGACGTGGAACAATCATCATCATTCTTTTTGGCTTTTTACTGACTCCGAACAATTATACGATGACCTATTTACCATGGAGTTTAAACTGTGACTAACTAATCAAAACAATGAGATGTTGTGTTAACATAGCTATTAGAAAAACTATTATTTAACTGATATAAGTATATGTTTTTCAGAGATTGCATTTACTTGATGAGGAATAATCATCATTAATCAGACAGTCCATTACAGAACGTCGCTCTCGTTCCGGCATGACTGAACATCTCACTTTCTCTAGCTAATTCTAAAGCCCTATGTACTTTCCGCCATGGCGGATTGAAAAAAATAATAGATGACGGCATGGAACCAGGAAGGGGAGGCAGGGGCAGACCAACACGAAGATGGGCAGAGGATATAAGTGACTCCTTTAATATGAAAGTTCAAGAGGCGGAAGAGTTGGCGAGAGCCCGAGTTTCTTTCAGGCAGACCGTGATGAGAGCGAACGTTCTGCAAAGGACCTGCTACATGATGATGATGATGTACTTTTATAGCCAATGTTTGTGTCTTCAGTGTCCTGAATCAACATTTACGAAAGCAGGTCTGTCCAGGACCGGCTCCGGCTGACGGGTCATGCTGCTGACGTCACCGGGTAGGGCTAACGAAGCGTTCAGTGGTTCTCAAACTGGGTATCGGGGCACACTGGGGTGCAGTGAGCGTATGCCAGGGGTGTCGCGGCAATAATTAAGAAAGGTCGGCTAAAAATTGTGAAATTATTACAGAATGCATGTAGATACCTACAAGTTAAAATTTAAGTTGTCTTCCCTCGCCACTGTTGAAAATAGTGTATTTCGTTTTTGAGAACCGTTACGTTAATGCATCGTTATCCCGACCCGGTGACGTCAGCAGCACGGCCTGTCAGCTGGAGCGGGGCGTGGTCTGTCTCTGCCAAAGTTTTCAAGAAACTGCACCCTTCATCACCGCTCTCTCCAGGCTATGACGGCGTTTAACATGGTCAAAATACCTCAGTTTAACATGGTCAAAATACCTCAGTTTAACATGGTCAAAATTCCTCAGTTTAACATGGTCAAAATACCTCAGTTTAACATGGTCAAAATACCTCAGTTTAACATGGTCAAAATTCCTCAGTTTAACATGGTCAAAATACCTCAGTTTAACATGGTCAAAATACCTCAGTTAAACATGGTCAAAATACCTCAGTTTAACATGGTCAAAATACCTCAGTTAAACATGGTAAAAAAATACCTCCGTTTAACATGGTCAAAATAACTCAGTTAAACATGGTCAAAATACCTCAGTTTAACATGGTCAAAATACCTCAGTTTAACATGGTCAAAATACCTCAGTTTAACATGGTAAAAATACTCAGGTTAACATGGTCAAAATACCTCAGTTTAACATGGTAAAAATACCTCAGTTTTACATGGTCAATATATCCCAGTTTAACATTGACAAAATACCTCAGTTTAACATGGTTAAAATACCCCAGTTTAACATGGTCAAAATACCCCAGTTTAACACGGTCAAAATAACTCATTTTAATATGGTAAAAATACTTCAGTTTAACATGGTCAAAATACCTCAGTTTAACATTGTCAAAATACCTCAGTTTAACGTGGTCAAAATACTTCAGTTTAACTTGGTCAAAATACCTCAGCTTTCGGAACAGGATACTGCTTTTCTTCGATGCTGAGATCCTATAGGATCTTCTTCTTGGTCAATTGTAATCTTAATCAGCCATTTGTACACGGGCGTTGACACCTGTGACAACAAATCACGTCCTCCAAAGACTGTCCCAAATACAACACAAAAAAGGCAAAACTTTTGGCCAAGAGAGACAATGATGCAAGCTAAACTTAGGGGTGGCTGAGAGAATTACAAAAAACAGTAAAGCTCATTTTGAGGTTTTAGGTTTTAACAACGGATCAACACCATGGCACACGGGTACTAACCCGTAAGTGCTCCGTTCTTCTTCTGACTCAAGTCTGAGTCTGAAGAAGCTCAGCACAATGCACAGGCTCTGTAGCACTGGCGAGGATCCTGAAATACTTGAAGTAGATTGTTAACTCCAAATTTTACGCGGACAGCGCCGTTAGGGCTACTCTTTTCGTTTTCTAACTGCCAAGCGATCTTTTACGTGCGCAACAATGCACACGGGCGTCCAATCTCACTACCCAGAATTCGGGGGGAATTACTAAAAGTTCAAGTCCGTATGAAAATATCCCGGCCCTTACCGGGGATTGAACCCGGAAACTATAGAACTCGAGGCTGACACCATGCCTTGAGACCACGCATCCCTCTAGTGAAATTCCTACTAGAGACAACATTTCAGATATAGCTAATCTATTTCAAGCAAATGAAAGAAGAGGAAGAAGAAGAACATTGTATTCTAGGAATTTTCTGAAGCAATTAGATTCAATGACTCCGATCTGTTTCCTTACTGATTAAGAGTCCGTGACTCACAGTCATATATTGCCACGACACGAGAACAATGCATGACTTCAAAATTACCAGTTCTACAATTTGACGAACGTCTTAAACAATATTTTAATTTTTCAGAAGAAGTAAGTTATCATTACATTTGCCACCATGTTTAATATCACATCAAATCACGTGACACGTTTTGATAAGCAAGATAAAATCCAGTTTAATAAAGGAAGCACTTTTGAAGTCCTTTACAACAACAGCAACTCAGAGCCAGATTTCAGTTTGGATTACGGGGAATTTTCTGAAGCAATTTGAATTAGATTCAATGTCTCCGATCTGTTTCCTTACTGATTAAGAGTCCGTGACTCACAGCCATATATTGCCACGACACGAGAACAATGCATGACTTCAAGATTTTTGCTAAAACTGACTTGTAGGACAGTCAGTCAGTAACCTGTGCTGTGCTCCAATAACAACCCTCCGGAAAACTTCTCAATCACAAGCAAGATGTTCCGCGTCCGATACACGCATCTGGAGATCATCAGCTACATCCTGCACCCATCTTCTCTTTGGTCTTCCTCTTTCTCTCTTCCCAGGCACTTACCCCTTCATTATTGTTCTCTCTAAACTTTCGTGACGTTTCAAGTGACCAAAATATTTCAGTTTTTATGTATTTAATAACCAGCCTTCTTAAGTATTCAATTCTTGAAGTATGGATGTATTTGTTCTTTTCTTTACCCATGATATTCTTAGAACCCGTCTATAACATTTGTATTCAAAGGCATGTATGAGCTGTTCAGCGTGTTTAGTAAGTGTCCGGGTCTCACCGGTGTATTTTGTATTGGGAAAGATGCATACTCTTTACTATTTAAATGATAGTTACACATCAATAAACCATGCATTCAAATGATTGCTACATAATAATGACACCACTCATTATTATGAAAATGATTGCTACAAAACAAAGACACGACTCATTATTATTCGAATGATTGTCACATAACGATGGCACTACGCATTATTATTTAAATGATTGTTACGCTGATAAAAAGCATTATTATTTAAGTGATTGTTGCATAACAACGACACAAATCATTATTATTTAAATGCTTGTTACATAACAATAACACGACTCACTATTATTTAAATGATTATTACACTGACACCATGGATTATTATTTAAGTGGTTGTTGCATAACAATGACACCACTCGTTTTTATTAAATGACTGTTGCACATATGCTGCTACAGTTAGGAGCCCATTTAAAATGCCGTTAGGCCTATTGATGGTCAGAAAGGAAACGGCTCTAGTGTAGTG